GGCACGGGGCTCCTCAGGACAGCCTCCAGTATAGCGAACCACTTAGGCATATATGTAGCTTTGTCACCTTCAATTCATCTTTGTTCAGGAAAAGGATGTGTATCTGAAAAAAGTTTTGGAAAGCTTCCTTGCAAATGTGTGTCTTGCTGTTTTCATTGATCCCACATATATGAACCCAGCTTTGTAAGCGCAAGGCAGTTTAGATACAAGTAGAAGAACTGGGTGCCAGGACTGCTACAAAAGAGAGAAAGAAAGGAAAGGTGAATGCAAAAATAAATAAATAAAAAATAAATTAAATATGTATAAATATAAAATAAAGTAAAATAAAATACCTAATGCTTCAACATGTGCTTTCAGTTGCTCCTGTTATAAGCAAGGGGAAAATCAAACAATAAAATAGCAAAAAAGGAAGCTACTCTGTTAGACATCATTGAAATCAATGTCAGGAAAGATCCTTGATTTTTTATTCAGATTATTATCTCAAAGGGCAGCAGAAAAATGGCATTTTTCTGATAGTGTTCAGTAAACTACCAAAAAAAAAAGTCAACTATTACTGTATCTGTGATATTAAGAGTTGATCTTGAGAACAGAAACTCTGCTTCACCTGACCAGAGTTAGTTTAGGTGTGGCTAGAATGGAAAATTATTTTTTCAATAGGCTAATCCTAAGGGCAAAAATTACATATAGTGTCACAGACGATGATGTCTTAAATTCAGGTGAAGAACAGGTAACTGGGAAAAATTACTTGCCCAATCTGAAATCCTAGCTTCAATGATTTAGATACAAAAGCTCTGCTGGTCAAGATTTTTCTTCCTAAGAAACAGAAGGTCTGTTGTGTAACAGGTTGCCATGTGCATTTTTTAAATTTTAGTTATTTTTTGTTAGGCTTTTTCTTAGTTTCATATTCTTTTTCTTTTTTTGTTTTAATAAGCAAAGACAACACTTGGCACTCGTTCTGATATCAGAATTGGTTTAGATCATTGTACAACTTCATCAAAAACCACGGAGTTATTTTCTGGCAAAATCAGATCCCTTGATATGTTTCATTAGAAACAGCTCTCCAGGGATTAGTTTCTCTTTCCTCCTCCCCTCCCTCCCCTCAGTATGCAGAGTGATTGTCTAATGGTACTTAGCTGTATTTATTTTTCATTGCCATGCAATTTTTATTTAATTCAGGTGCAGATATGTTGGCACAGTGTGTGCACAGGATGGCTAGTGGTCCGCTTTAAAATTATACGGATATGCAAAACCTTTGCCTTGGCACACACTGTTTCTCTGCAGCCCAGCTGAAATGCGTATTTCACAGTGAAGCTGTACCATTTCTTTGTGACTTTACTAGTCGTAATCTTCTGATCACCAGCGCACTGAGTATGCTCAGGCACCACAGAGACCCTTGCTAGATGTGGATGTGTCAGTGCGGTGGTGGGTGTCTCCAAGGCTGCGTATTTTTCATACTTTGGGGAATGAGCTTCAGAACCCCACAGGAACCAACGAGGCTGAAATGATAGTGTGCTTCAGCAAAAAAAAAGGAGGAGACCCAGACTTTTTCTCCTCTTTCATTTAGCAGGACAGATGAAGAAATAGCTTCAGCTAAGCACGAGAATGAGGATATCTTCACTGCTGCACAGCTCCAGCAGACTTTGGCTGGCCTGGATGAAGATTTAGAAGGTAGGGAAGTGTGTTAACCCTGAAGTACAACAGAGAGAGGCATAGCCAGGAGATGCAGAGTCAAACTGCACTCTGAAGACATCTGCACATTTCTCACTCAGATCGCTGGGAACAGCCCACAGGTCTGAGGCAGAATGTGATCAACCTAAAGGGGCTGCTCTCATTTGGCTTCTGGGGCAGTCACTCTTTGTACTCTTGCACTGAATATTTTTCAAGCTGCTTGTCAGATTGTCATCGTATTTCAATGTCTACTACCAAAACAAGATGAACAGCAGTTTATGGACACATTTTATGGCTCAAATTTGGTATAATTTCACTGGCTTCAGTGAAGCCAAATCACTTGTGAATTTAGCTCTGTGTTTAATGAGCAATGCCTCAGTTTTGTATTTTCTTATAATGAAGTGGAGAAAAGGGAGAGAGTTTTGTACCCAGTGTCTCCTCTGAGTTAGCAGACATATTTTAAAGGTAAAAACCAAAAAACATACAAAGAAAGAGAGCAAAGAGATAAGATGTCATACGGTACTCCTCTTTTGCCTACTGTGAATAAAAGTATTTCTCTATTAATGGTTTGTCACTAGATGATGTTTAATACTTTTTTTAAACATCCCATCTTTGTTTCAGTACTTCTGCGGTGGACTTGATTCTTATTTAATTTCCGTGAGTTCTCTAACTGCAGTTTCTTAGCTTCTGTGTTGTAACCCTTCATTTATACCAGCAAATTTGAGAGGAGAGTTAAGCTTCTTGCACAATGAGGGTTCTAGAATCACTGGTAATGAAGGGTGAGAAGAATAGAGAAAAAATACAAGTACTGTTTCTTTGTTTGCTTGTTCAAGGATATCCTTCAGCTGGGCTGTTATTACTAACCAGGTCTGGGAAACATAATTTGGAGTTGCTCAGTGTTTCTCAGAAATGTTTCTCCTTCAGAGTCATGTGGTGAAATATTTGTCAGTGAGAGAAGTTAGTCAAAGATAAGGTATGAACAATAGATTAAATTCTGCTTTCAGCTGCATTTGTATTTTTCCCACTGGCTGAAGCAGGAGAACTGCAGGAATATTTGGCTGATCCTAATCAGCAGCCAGACAATGAAAAGGACCCAGATCTCTCCCTTTTTGTAGAACAGGCATAAATATATTCTTGTTAGTTTTAGTGTAACTAATATATCTGATCTGCTTAAGCTTGTACTGGCTGTTTTTGTAATTTAAAGTAATATTGCCTAAATACTGCCTATATGTAATGTTTTATGTGTATTTTGCAGCAGTGGATACTCTAAGTAACTCTGACTCCGAGTACACTGGTGAAGTGTTGAGCCCATGTATAAGAAAAGTTGAGGCTGTCCAAGATGTTAGCATTTCTGTTCCAGTAACCATCATAGATGATGCTCCAGAAGTTTGCACCTTTAACTCAGCTGGAAATCAAGAGACAGAGACAAGGGTTTCACAAAACGTCTCAGCTGATTCTGTTAATACAGGAAACTTCACAAATAAAAACAACAATGCAGGTTCCTTTGATAAGGGACACACAGATGGTGGAGCTGTATGCATATCAAAGGACCTAATACATCAGCAACCATCTGAAAACGAATTCAGTCACTTGCCTGTGGAACAGAGGAGAGATATGTTTGAATCTCTCACATCCTCCTTTGAAAAAAGAAGTGAAAAGAACTTAAGACTGGACTCCCCTGCCAAACATGGTATGAAATCTGAGGAATGTAAATCTAAACTGACTCCACCTCACTCCAAGGCCACAGCTGAAATCAGTACAGCAAAGGAGAAGATAAATCCATTTAATGAATGTAGTAACAGGGAAAGATCTCTGAAAAAAAGTAAATCAGAAATAGAAATCAAATGGCCACCAGCAAAAAAATTTGAAGAAGTCCCATCAACACCCACATGGTGTCATCGTGCCCAGAATTCAGGAACAAGCTACGAACCGAAAATGGGTTTGACAACTTTTAAAGTTGTCCCTCCCAAACCTGAAGTAAAACATTTTGACAGAGGAGTTTCACTCACCACTGGTGCCATTAAGATAGATGAACTAGGCAACCTTGTAGGCCCGAACACCGGTGTTAGTAAGCACATACCAGGCACTTCTACTGATGAAAGTGAGGAAATTCATCTTGGGAAAGTGAAGGCATTCTGGAGGTCAAGCTCTATGGAAAAGCAAAGTGATGAATCTGCTGAGCATCCTCCTAAAAAGTCAACAGTCACCACAAGCTCTAAACCCTTTACTGTAAAACACGAACACAAACCTCTTTCTCTTGTAGCTCCAAAGCCTGGAGCACCACAAACTGTTACTACCCAGGTAGCTGAAAGACAGTCTGAGAATGAAAGGACCAAACCATCTCTTCCAGTTACACAGTCTCAGGTAACACCATTAGTGGCCCCAACCATTAATAAGGACAAACTGGAGCTTCCATTTCTAAAGCCACACAGGAGAACTTCGAGTCAGTATGTTGCCTCTGCCATTGCAAGACACATGAACACAACTGCATTTAAGTCTGACTCTGTGGACTATCACGAGAAAGATGAAGATAAACAAGGGGCAGGAGAGGTTAAAGCTGAAGCAGAGGTTTCACCAAAAAGATGTATTATTGTGGCCAAATATAGCCCTGTGGAAACAGAATCAGCAGAAACAAGAGAAACACTTTCAAGTATTTTTACGTGCAGTCAAAAAGCATCCTACGGGTTTACACCTGGTGATAATTCTGGCATGGAAAACAAAGTAGTTAACATCAGGGCACCAAATCAAGCAACTCCTGCAAGTTTCTATAAAAAGAATGCCAGTGTCCCACTTACTAAATCCTCTTCAAAGGATAACAGTGCAGAAGATGATCATGCTTTAAACAGCAAACAAAGTATAGCAGAGAAAAAGATGCTGTTTGACCACACGTGTGAGACTTTGACCCATGCTAATTCAGCCTCATCTCTCAAGTCTCCTGATCTCCAAGGAGTCTCCTCCTCTTTCAGTTCATCTTTGCGAGGCACTAAATGGCCTCCTGCTAATGGTGTGCAAGTTAGTTCACTTAAAGCTTCACCCGAGCTAAATGGGGCAGCAGCAAATGCAGTGTCAGAACAGGAAGAGAAACCTGATTATTCAGATATTAATGCTATCGGTGAACTGGATGTTAATGTGCAGACCAATATCTTTGGACCAAAGAAGAAGTTCAAACCTGTTGTCCAAAAACCAGTTCCAAAAGACACATCACTGCACAGTGCCCTAATGGAAGCCATTCAAACGGCAGGGGGAAAGGAAAAACTCAGAAAGGTAAAGTGTTCAGACTGCAGAGCTCTGTACTCACCCTGTCAGACACCAGAGGTTTTGTAACTGGTACAGTTGCTGGTGAGCTGGAGTACACAAAGCATATGAAAAATTTATAGTGGCAAAATACAGACCAAGCCACTGCTTAATCCGTGCATCCTGTATCTTATGCAAGACCATTGCTCCTGAGCAATTGCTAGAAGAGGCAGAAGGTGCAGGGATACAGCATAAAGGAGAGGTAATTAAGGTTACCCTAAATGCTGAACCCACATTTCAGTGTGTTATCTGGAAACAGGAACACACAGTATGGAGAAAACTTGTAAATACCTGCAGTGAAAGAAAACTGCATTTTGTATTACTGGGTGATAGTAGTTTGCTACTGCTTTCATGCTCAGGGGATCTGAGTCTGCATCTGTAAGTACAGCATTACTATCTACACATATCCTCACCATTCAGTGTGAGTAAGGGTTGTAAAAGCAGGCCCAAAAGAAGACACGCTGAGTGGTCTCCATAGCTTGCATGCTGGTACAAGTGCGAAAAATAATTTTAGTAGTGTTTCCAAACTATCTCTAAGTACCTAATAACAATGTGAGGTTTATTCTTTTCATGTTCTAGGTTTCAGACAGCACACTAAATGGCAGTCACAGGAAACCCTCATATGCTCAGCCAGAGAATGAGCGCTCAGCCCTACTAGCAGCAATTAGAGGCCACAGTGGCGTCTCAAAGCTGAGAAAGGTAAGAAATCAAGATGGTAAGTGATCTTTTAAGTGCTGTCTGTTGCCTCTGGGTGTTTTGAATAAACCCAGATATGCCACAAACTAAACGTGCTGCAAAGAGAAAAGTTGAGGGGGAAATAATATGACACAAGACCAGATCTGACTTACCGCAGATAGCATAGCAGGTTTGATCCTATCCTCTGCTATAAAAATTAACACTCTTTGAAATGGTGTGCTTTTAGCTGAAAAGGAAGCACATAGAAATCCAAACAAATTACAGGGATTGTGCAGAGAAGACATCAAATTTTCATCATTTTTGTACTTAGGTGGGGGTTTTTTTGGACTTTAGGAGTATGCAGTTAGATTAATATATTTGCATTACCGACGATTTGCATCCGATCCCAGTTACCTGAAAACAGGCTAGGGCTTCTTCATGCTTGCTGTTTATCTGTTAACATGAGCTGGTGCGTGCAAGTTGTGTGAAAGTAATTGATGTTGATGGAACATCAGCTTTCACCACAGTAGGATGATTCCTTATATCTGAAAGATTTACCTAATCGTTAAAGTATCTCTTTAGTCCTAATAGCCAAAACCTGCATTGTTCTAGCCTTAGATTTCACTCGGATCATTAATCCAGCAAAGGATGTGTATTTGGCAAGGAGGATCCCATTTCCTTTGTGCAATGACTCAGACCATTAGCACATATCCAGATAGCTGGCACTAGACAGAAGGAATCTCTTGCCTGTGTTAGAGAATTACATGGTCCCTCAAATATCATAGAATCATAGAATGGAAAGGACCTTAAAGATCACCTGGTCCAACCCCCCTGCCATGGGCAGGGACATCTCCCACCAGACCAGATTGCTCAAAGCCCTGTCCAACCTGGCCATGAACACTTCCAGGGAGAGGGCATCCACAACTTCCCTGGGCAACCTGTGCCAGTGTCTCACCACGCTCACCATAAAGAATTTCTTCCTAATATCTAGTCTAAATCTACCCTCTTCCAGTTTAAAGCCGTTCCCCCATGTTTTATCACTACCTGCCCTTGTAAAAAGTCACTCCCTGGCTTTCCTGTAGGACCCCTTCAGGAACTGGAAGGCTGCAATAAGGTGCCCCCAGTCTTCTCTTCTCCAGGCTGAACAGCCCCAACTCTCAGCTGGTCCTCATAGGGAAGGTTCTCCCACCCTCTGATCATCTTCATGGCCCTCCTCTGGACCCACTCCAACAGCTCGATGTCCTTCTTGTATTTGGGGCCCAAAAACTGGACACAGTACTCCAGGTGGGGGTCTCAGGAGAGCAGAGTAGAAGGGCAAAGTGTATCTTACTGCTCTTGCTGCAGGTAGGGTACAGCTTCCTCTGAGCCTGAGAGCAGGAGATGCTAGGCAGCAGCCATCTTCACGCATACTTAACTCCATTCTTTATTCATTGGGAATAAATGTAAATTTATGTAAAAGAGACTCTGACAATAAAGTGGCGATGTATTATCACAGAGACTTTTCGAAATACTTTCCTCCAGTAGAGAAGCTTTTGCCATCATTTTGAAGGAAGTTGCCTGGAAACTGTATGCTGCTTTCACACCATGTCACCTGTGCTAGTTAAAGCATCACGTTTGTATGTATGCTGGGCAAGATACAGATGTGCTATGATGAAAGGGCTTTCTGTTTCATGTTATCTCAAATGTTCCTGCTTTATCTGACATGACATAATTCTCATATATTGTATCTGTGTGTGGACAGTGAAGGAATAGAATATAGTAGCTCTCTGAATGTGGATTATTTGATGGGAGATGAATCCTTTCATTTTTCACTAGAGAAGTTTTGTGCCTCAGTTTCTCTGAGAAAAGCATGCTAATGCATCTGCTAGAAAACCTCCCATTTGGCACATTAAACTAAATTTCCTAATAATTGCCAAAACATTAATTACTAACATTTTATTCTAATTATTACTAGTAATGTTGCTAATGGCAAAAATATTTGTTGAGAAAGTTGATGGAAAAGCTGGCTTAGTCTAAAAGATTGCCTCCTCCCCCTGCCTTAATTTAAAGTAGGATGAGTTTCCAAGCTAGTAATTCATGCAGAAATTTCAGTTTCAAAAATTCTGCAGAAACACACTTGGAAGAACAGTCAATTGATTTTGTTCTCAGTGCTTTCACGTAGTTCTCTCTGGTACTGGGTTTGTCGGGTGTTTTTTTTTAGTATCCTGGAAAATTTAGGTTTAACGGCATTTTTTCAATGAAGCCATGTCTGAGAGCTCAGATCTAGAAGAGCCTCCCTGTCATCTGAAATTACATCTGTGCAGCTCAGACTGCAAAAAATAACAAGATTCCTGGGTGGCTACTGCAGCCTCAGTATATCTGCCTGATTCCAAAATCCTTGTCATTGTTTCCAAATGAATACCAAGTCCAATTCTCTCTTGTACCTTGCATGCCAAGAAGAGTTACAGGATGCTGGAACTCTCAGTAAATAAAGATTGAGATTCTGAGACAGGGTCAATGCCAAATCCTTGATGCTGGTAATCAGCCCAGCTGAGTGATGTGAGTGAGTAGTAACAGATGTTCAACCCTATGAGCAAACAAAAGTTCTACGTGGTTTACATCATTCAAGCAAAGTGAAATTGGGGTACTAAAAGTGCATCAAATGCCAAATAATTACAGTTTACTCATACTTGATACTAATTGTCTCCTTTCAACTGCATCATGAGCAGATCTCCTCGCTGGCCTCTGAAGAACTGCAGAGATTTAGGAATGCAGAACTGTCCTTGCAGAAGGCTGAACACCCTCGGGAAGAGCAGCTTTGTATCCCACCTGCCCCTGCTCAGCTGCCACCACCACCTCCCATTCAGCTGTCAGCAGCAGCTCCTAAATTCTCTGCCACAGCTACAGGTAGCTCTGGAGAGGCAAGGCAAGCCCTGCTGGAGGCCATTCGTTCTGGTGCTGGAGCAGCAAAGTTAAAAAAGGTAAAGGTACTTCTGTATTTTATTGTGGATGTAACAACCTAGGCTTCTTGTGCTTTGAGAACCATTTATAAACTGTTCTAGCGACACATTTCTTTCTTCCATCAGAAGAAGGTGTATGTACTGTTTAACTGAATCAAAGATTGGGAGTGTATTTCAAACCTTTGAACAGCTATTAAAACATACTATTAAGACTAAAACATGCCTGTGCATGTATGCAACCATATGAGTAGTCAATAATTTTTTTTTAAGAGAACAGCAAAAGCATGAATATAGTTTCAGAAAGCATTTTCATGCCCTTTTGATTCTCGTGCATCTGGCATAATATGAATGTCCTTTAGACAAGGTGAACCTAAGAAAGATCAGATATGAGACCCTAAAGCAAATTTAGAGATAAGTATTGTCTCTTAGTTTCAGTAGTGTGTCCTAGACCTTGATTCCCAACACTTACATCTACTACAGCAGATGTAATTTTCCCAACACATGATTTAGCTGATGCCAACTATAAATGTGTAAATAGGCTTTAACTTTGCTTACTTGTCCTCTTTAATACAATACAAAAAATACAATCAAATTTTAACATTAAAAAGTAGCCAAAAAGAATCTTGTTTCTAATAAATTCCACAGAATCATACAAATGGCAGAAACAGATCAGTGTTTTGGGAAACTTTACATCAACATGCAAACAGAAGTCTGGATGTGCAGTTATTTTGCATGTGAAAATTACATCTATATTATGTATGCTATTCAGAGGAGTGGCTGAGGTCTCTTGATTTGTTCAGCTTAGAGAAGGGGAGTGTTGTCCTCGTCGCAGTCTACGCCTTCCTCAAGGAGAGCAGTGGAAGGGGAGGTGCTGATCTCCTCTCTATGGTGGCCAGCGATAGGACACAGGGAAGTGGGATGAAGCGGCATCAGGGGAACTTCAGATTGGAGATTAGGAAAAGGTTCTTCACTGAAGAAGTGGCCAGTCACTGGAACAGGCTCCCCAGGGATGTGGTCATGGCACCAAACCTGTCAGAGTTCAAGGAGTGTCTGGATGACGCTCTTAGTCATATGGTTTAGTTTTAGGTAGTCCTGCCAGGAGCAGGGAGTTGGATTCGATGATCCTTATGGGTCCCTTCCAATTTGAGATATTCTATGATTCTAAGACTACATTTTATTAAGAAATAGTACTCCAGATCAGACCTTTATTTCCCCACTTCACCAATTTACAGAAAAAAAGGGGATTTGGACACACAAGAAGGCATTTGTTTTCTAGATAATTCCAAATTCTTTGTTCTTCCAACTACATTACTCTTGCAGAAATCTCTGAGGGGACCCATAGCTCTACTCATTAGAACAAGTCTTTATCATATCCTTGGGGTTTTATTTCAAAACAGTTGGATAGTCAGTGCAGACCATGAAACTAAGTTTGATATCCTGATGTAGTCTGTGATATACTGATGTATTCTGCTAAATAATGTGCCTGTCTTCTTTCATTTTCAAGACAGAGTAATTTTCAGTAGTTTTGACATTGAAATGACAGAAGAGCACATCTCTTATTGTATAGGTCTTTTATGAAAATAAGAGAGAACAGCATTTTGTCCAAGACAGAGTATGATTTTGTTATTACTGTGCTGTTCTTCATGACACTGGATATGCAAGCTAAGTCTTGTATATGCCAAAGACATCATATCACTGATAAAAGTAAAAATGTTGCCAGATTTCTCAGAGTTTCTATCCAGTGCATATTAATATCCCTCCTAGCTTGCTGCTTAAATGAGAGCCGAATTCTGATTCTTCCCTGCAGTTGGACAGCTTGTGACAGCAAAAGTTGAATTGGTAGAGGAAGATATATGATAGTTGCATGTCAAAGTTTTCTTCCTTTACAGCTGAAGAACATATCTCCATGGAACACTTGAGTTTTGATAGAACAGTAACTGGCAGGTGGTTTTCTGCCAGGGCAGAAACAAGCTTTTTTCTTTGTCTTGCCTCCACGGTCAAAGATCTATGGTGTCATGATTTGGAGGTGCAAGCACAGAGCCATTTTTGGCTTTGCTTTCTATAAGATTTTAATGGCAACTAGACAGCAGAGTAGGTAGTTCAGTTCTGTATTTGTGTCTGTTTCTCTTCCAGTGTCTTCTCAAAGTTTGCTGGAACAAGGGCTTCTGATGATGAAGTCATTTATTTAGCTCATATAGGGGGGAACTGGGAAGAATCTGCATTGCTTAGTTATGTATGACTCTGTGCTTATTTATGAGGGGTTATTTGCAATGGAAGTAGATCAAACAGAGCTGTCAGGGGAACCAAATATAAAAAGCAACCAATTGCCTAGATAAGGAGCATCCCAACAAACATTTGAGGTCTATTAATATCTGTGAAAAGGCAACTCCTCCACTCCACCCCTGATTACACAGCTGTTTGCTAAAGTCATAAACTTTAAGGTTAAAAGATTGACTGTGCAGGAAGAGAGGAGAGAAATTGCTGCAGGCTGACCCTGCCTTGCTGAGAGTCAGGGTCTGCACCACACAGGCTGTAATTGGGTCACCCAGAACAAACCAGAACAAAAATACGTATTCAAGGGAAATTCCCAGTATAGGTAAGAGAGCAGGCACACAGGTCTCCTGACTGTTCTTTAATCCATTTCTTGAAGTACTGTGTCTGCTTTGGCAAATAAATCATACTTGTTTTGAAGAAGCGACTTCTGTTTTATTGCACGCTGTTGCTGTCCACAGACTCCCAAAGGAAAATTCTTGTGGGTGCCAAGCCCAGTTGGGCCTGCTCAGTTAAATGGTTCATCCCCAGTGCAGCGCAGTACAGAGACCTGCCAGAAAGTAGTTAGACTACAGATCCTACCCAAAGGGAATGGAGACACAGATGTGTTGCTGGAAAGGAGTGAACTTACCAAACTGGAAGAAGACCTGACAGTGTGCAGGAAGTAACTTTTTTCTTCAGTTTTCAAAACAGTCTGTCGAGACACCTGGCAGGTGTTTAACAACTCCAGAGTACAACAGCAAGTCAGGGAGATGGCATCGAGTAAAGCTACCAACAGGGATGGCTGACCTAGCACCTTTGATGGTTTATTGTCTTGAGAAATGAATGTGTCTCACTGGCGAGGAGCCTGCTTTCCAGCCACGTGGTCTGCCTCTGTACAAAGGAGAATCAGTTGATCTAGGAAATAAACAGCTGATTGGCTAATTCTGGTGATCAGAATTCATGTCATATTGCTGTACTGTTTCAGCTTCCAGTGTTAAAAGTGAACTAACGTTTTCCTTAAATTGTATTAAGCAACTTTAGTCATGATTTCACCTCCTTAAGATCTTGATGTTTAGTTTTTAAGCTTTCTGTCTTAGAAAATGCAAATTAACCTAGCTAGATTTCTGAAATTCTGTATATCATTCCATGTGTATTTTTGTGTCTGTGTAACTTGCCTTGGGATTTACCATGATTATCTGTGGAAAAAACCATAACTACACATGCAAATAACCCATTAGCTGTCTAGCTGTAGGTATAGTTGCAGCACAAGCACATGCAAGATTGAAGATCTTACCCAACAGAGAGAAGCTGTAAAAGTTGCCTTTGCTTATATGCCATCTACTCATCTTAGGTAGAGTTGTACCCAGGCATTTGGTAGAGATTGCAGGGGAATGTGCCTGCAGAAGGTGGGGAAGGCAAATTGTATATCTGAGGAACAAGCTTTTGCTCGTGGTAAAATGATTTTTTTAGACTACTTTTTAATGGTACATGCAGGAGAGATTCTACAGATTTCATGTGTTTTCCAATAAAGATTGGAGCTGTATCTAAAGCAGCCTCTTCTGTTTACTTGCTGCAATTTTAAAAATTAATTTGGCTCCATCACAGTATGCATAAGTGTTCATGCCAGTGTTCAGCATCAGCATTAAGTCACATGAACTCTGGATATGTGCAGTGTATCATTCTGTTGGCAATCAAAGGAGTCAGGTAAGGTAATTACTGCACCCGTTACATTAAGTCCCTGATATATGCTGGGATAATTTGAAGTTGGTTGCCAACAAGTAATGCATCGATCTGGATTATGGCATGTTGAGTGTCTTCTACAAAGCACGGCCTAGTTCCATACCTTTGTGTCAAGCAGGGGACTATTCTCTCATAATTAGAGGTATTTAATTGTGAATTAAGAAATACTGTTTCTTATCATCAGTGTCTGTGGGGGCAATGACAGAGATTACAGACTCAAAACCACAGGTGATGTCTGCATTGGTATGCTGGAAATGGGGCAGGAGGCCCCATTAAAAGGTTGACTGAGCTTGATATACAGGTAGTCAAATGAGCCTATAATGTGATTCTAGTTCCCATGTGCAGTGAGAGGCGTTCATTTGCATACTGTTACTCTATTGGAATTGAAAGATAAAATTTAATTTGAACTGTTCACCTTGCTAATAATTAGTACCCTGACCTACTTTTTCCCCAAGAATAAAGCTTCTGGCTTGGATACTAAGGCCAAAATGGAAGGTTTGGACTTGATCAAATACATTAATCCTGTTTAGCTTTTGTGGTGACCTTAATGTATATCTCTCTGATAGGTTCAAATCTCAATAACTTTGATTTTGGAAGAGCACCCTACCATGCATATTTAACATTAAGCATATGCTTATATGACCTGAGGACTAGGAAGAAAGATAAGCATTTGTTTAAGTATTTTCCTGAATCTCAAAGCCTTTGGGAGTTCTCTTCATTCAATCAGGAAGCAAAGTACTCATCAATTCATTTTTATGACCAGTAACAGCTAACTGATACCAAACAGATTTTGACTGTCACATATTGCATACTTGCAGCTTGACTTTATGTTCATTCCACAAAGTGAAGGACGTTCACAGTAAAATACATCACTCATGTTACAGTAATCGTGTAATTGGAACTGCAATACGTCAGGATGTTTGAGGTGGGGGATTTTTAAGGAAGGATGACAACTTTCATTGGACCAACTGATACAGCTAGAAAAAAGCAGATAAGCTTTAAGTAGTCTCAAGGAGCTGATGAAGAGTCCAAGCTTGAAAACAGCCTCACAGGAGAATATTTGGTTGACA